GACGTGGAAAGGCCGCCCCCGCGGCCTCTCGGGTGCTACGGGTAGAAGTCCTGACGACCGCGCGCGCGATAGAACCTTGGGGGGAGGCTACTAGCGACGGCGCAACCGCGCCGGGCTGGGGCGAATCGAGGTCCATGCTGTCAGCCACACTATTTATATCCCTCAGAACAGCCGCATCGGGTGAAGCCGGCCGCGGGGAAGCCCCCGGTAGCGCTGAAGGGGTGCCTGTCGGCCGGGTCCTCTCTGAAGAGCGCGGAGGGTCCAGCGTCTGTGGCCCCGGATTGGGTGGCGCCGCCAAAAGAGCTCCCTCCCGAGAATTGCCGGGGGTCGATGCTCGTGGTCTCGCGGGATGCCCCGTAGCCGACGCGCAGACGGTCGTGCGCTGGGACGAGTGCCTAGGCCGTGCGGCTGTGACTCGTAAATCTGCTGATGCCATCGTTTGCCTGTCTCTGTTAGCTGCCGGCCTACTAATGGCCAGTGAAACCTCCGCTCCTGTACGAGCTCGCGGTGGAAGGGGTGGAGCGCTCGTGTGCACTCCTCCCGAACTTGTACCACGTCGACGCGGTGCTGGAACCGAGGTCCCGGTGGGCGGCGCGACCCCGGGGCGCCGCCTTCCCCAGTCACTGGAACGATCCGTGTGTGAATCCTGCCCACGCTGGCCAGTCCTCGCGAGTACCATCTGCTGGAATGGCGACCTCACGAACCGCAAGATGCCAGCGAGAACCCCTCGTTGGTTCTCCCTCGCCTCACCACCCGCCGGCCGATGAGAAGCGTTTCGGCGACCCAAAGCAATTCCGTGTCGAGGCCGCTGCGGCGAAATACGCGTGCTCGGAGAAAAGGACACTCGAGGCCGCTGCTGAGGTCGGTCAGGAACACCCCCATCGAGCGACGCTGACCTCCTCCTCCTCCGGAGGATACCTGACAGTTCGGCTGTACCCTCAGCGCGTCGAGGTGAAGGCGAGAGATGTCGGGGTCGCGACCGGGGCCGCGAGGACGCGGACCCGGAGGACCCTGAGCGTCGTCGGCTTGATCCTGTCATGCGCGGCGGGGATGCGCTCGACATGTGTGGTCCGCTGGCCAACTGTCGCGTAGAAGCCCCTGTGTCTTCCCCTGCTGTGCCCCTGCCAATGTTTCCGGCCCTATCGGCCGTCTCTATTGCCGA